GAAAACGTTTCGCGAATCCGAGGCGTAAACTGTTCCCAAAGAAAGTTATGATTTATCGGCGCAACACGCTAATTTCCGATTCCGGGCGCGGGGGGTGGTAGACACCGTGCCAGGGAATTTCAGACAGCGGCACGCCTCGCGTTCGCGAGCAACCGTTGGCACAAACTTTTATTTATCGACATCCTCCTCCTGCTCGTCTTTCCCCGTTCCCTTTCCTATTTCTCCCTTTCTTTCCGTTTGTTTTTTTGGACATTGTGTGCGTAACGGAACACGGGATTCGAATGTCTCGGGGCTGTTTCGAAGCATGGGGGAATTATTCCTAGTCCTCTCTGTGCAAACATTTTTATTGTATCCTCAAACTGAAAAAGTCTTTCATGTTTGATGCCCCGTTTTAGTGAATTTAGTGAGTCTTCCCTAAAAAAAAGGTCTGAGGAATTCGTAGGAAATGACACGGAAATTGTCAGAAATCTTTTCCTTTAATTTCGCACGTAGGTTTTCCCCTCTTGTCTCTGGTTAAGTGATTTCATTCGTCGCGTAGCACGCGCGACCCGAAGAAAACTACAATTTATCGACGATATCCCCGTAGTGAATCCCGACCGACGACCGTCGAGGGTGGTTTCCTTGTCAACGGGTTTCGAAGGGTGAGCCGCGCTTTTACAAGCTCGTCGTCAGCAGAAAACTCGACGGCTCGATACACGCTACGGAACACTATCATTCGTCCGGTAGTTGTTTATTGCAGTTTTAAGTCGCATCGATTGCATTCGTGATTAGCAGACTGGGACTTTATGTACGAACAAATATAAAAAATTGCGTGCATGTTGCAATATTTAATCGATGAACTTTCATTTAAATCGCATTTCTTATATACATAAAATTTAACCAGTACATGAATTAATTACTGCATTAAATTAATCATTAATTATTATATGATACGTTAAATAAAATATCGTGTTAAGCAATCGTTACTTGAATCACTATGTGAAATTCTAAGAGAGAAAAATCAAGCCGCGTGCAGTTATCGCGTTGTCACGGGATCGAGAAATCACACAGACGAAATAGAAGAAAGATAAAAAGGAATGGTAACGAAACAATCTGGAAACAGACAGTTTGATAAATGGATCCTTCGGATTCGATTCACTGCGTGACAATGAAAATCGTAAAGGTAATCGACGCATAAATTTTTTCCTGGCCGAGGAAAGAAGGATGGAAGGGAGTAAGCAAAATGTCTGGGTGGTACGAATCGAGGGGTTTGCACCCCTTTCTATCACCGGCGGTGTTTTATCGAGCGGGTTCGTGTCTACCTTCGATCTTAAATTACAAGGGCGGTGGTATAGAATGCTCGCAAAGCATAGGCAGATATCTCCGTGCGAATCGTTGTGTCAGGGGTAAAAAAAAATTCGTTTCCCATGCTGTGACTGCACACTAAGAATCTTGAAAATCTTAGTTCAATGCAAAGTTAAATGAAGATATGATACGTTAAATAAAATATCGTGTTAAGCAATCGTTACTTGAATCACTATGTGAAATTCTAAGAGAGAAAAATCAAGCCGCGTGCAGTTATCGCGTTGTCACGGGATCGAGAAATCACACAGACGAAATAGAAGAAAGATAAAAAGGAATGGTAACGAAACAATCTGGAAACAGACAGTTTGATAAATGGATCCTTCGGATTCGATTCACTGCGTGACAATGAAAATCGTAAAGGTAATCGACGCATAAATTTTTTCCTGGCCGAGGAAAGAAGGATGGAAGGGAGTAAGCAAAATGTCTGGGTGGTACGAATCGAGGGGTTTGCACCCCTTTCTATCACCGGCGGTGTTTTATCGAGCGGGTTCGTGTCTACCTTCGATCTTAAATTACAAGGGCGGTGGTATAGAATGCTCGCAAAGCATAGGCAGATATCTCCGTGCGAATCGTTGTGTCAGGGGTAAAAAAAAATTCGTTTCCCATGCTGTGACTGCACACTAAGAATCTTGAAAATCTTAGTTCAATGCAAAGTTAAATGAAGATATTTTACATGAATTAAAGCAGTTTTACATATGCATAGGAAATAAACTGTTCTTAATGGGTCCTAAAACTTGCGAAACGGTAGAAGTGTTACGACCCTAGAACTTAGCCAAAAGGAATTCAAATCGCGGGATTAAAGATCGTCTAATCTGTAGGCAAAGTAAAATTGAACCTTCGACGTTATTTCAGGCTGTGCTCGTCATCGTTATCTAACACCTAGCTTAGCCAGGCCTAGCCGAGTTTCAGCGTGCCGCGCTCGAGTTTAACTTTAATCCCTGCAGCGTGAGAACGCGTATCTTTAGGTATACCAGACGGAAAACGCGTGAACTACATTAACAAGCGATAGAGATCGTCGCCGAGGTCTTACGCCGCGTGCAATTTCCACCATTTCCGTCCGATGAAATACGATAACGAGTCCGGTTGAACGGGAGGTAGGGGGCAGGCGGGAATGAAACGGTTAAATGGAAAGCGATTTAACCCCCTAGCTCCAGATTTATTTTGCAATTTACCCTGACAGTATGCTGTTCATCTCGCGAATCCGCGATTCCAACTTAAATAATTCATAGCCTCTAATACGAATAGTAATGGTCGCCGTTTAAAACCACCCAACCCCCGTTCCTGCCTGAATATTCGGCTCGCTCCCGTTTTCCAACATACGAATAAACGAAACCATAACTGTTTACTCGGCGATTGAATTAACTCACAAATCAAAACCGGGAGCGACGCGAATATTACGTTTCGGCAACTCCGCCCATGTCCGGATTTACTTGAAAATCATCGTTGATTGTATCTAAAAATCGTTAGAAATGCGGTGCAGCGGGAAATCATAATAATTAAATTATATTGCGAAATATAACATGACGTCGGTTCAAAGAATATAGAAATTTCTCTTGTCTTCAGATATTCTGGTTTATATAACAGAGGTTCTACTGTATTCATTTTCTTTTACTTTTATTTCGCCATGGATGGAATTCTCGTTTGACCATCGGCGATGGTAGATAGAGACGCGTGTTCAGCGGAATTGAAAATCGCTGACTGGGACGCGGTTCCGCGGTTCCTGTTTCTCGCGGTTTTATCTACGGGATACGAGCCTAACCGTGTTTTCCCGTTCGACGTATACTAACCACCGCCACCGACTGGCTTATACTCCATCGGCACCCGGAGACGATTATACGTCATAATTTCCGTTTAATTGACTAATATCCTAACCGCCGACCGAAACGATAGTTACCGCGTGAAGCACGGCTCGCATTACCGCGTTATTACACCGGAGGAAAATGCTACTCGACCCCCCTCGGGCCCTAATTCAAATTTATCGCTTGGCGATGTTCACCCACTTTTCGTTATCAGTTGATAAACGCGGAGGTATATCAAATATTGTGTTAATATTATTTCGATCTACGTTTAACACGTGTAACACGGATACTACACGCTGAACCTTCCATCGAGTAATGCGTTTAACACGTTGCTGCATTTACATAAATGAATTTAATACACCTATGTGAATCGATGAATTATCTTGTTGTCCTATCAATGCGTTTTGTATGAATTTTCTAGTTTATGGAGCTCGTTGATGCAGCTCATTCATATACAGAGTGTTTGCGAAATCGTGGTACAACCGGCGAGGGGATGATTCCTCACATAAAATCTAGTCAAAAACAAGGACGTGACGNTAATTAAATTATATTGCGAAATATAACATGACGTCGGTTCAAAGAATATAGAAATTTCTCTTGTCTTCAGATATTCTGGTTTATGTAACAAAAGTTTTACTGTATTCATTTCTTTTTCTTTTATTTCGCCATGGATGGAATTCTCGTTTGACCATCGGCGATGGTAGATAGAGACGCGTGTTCAGCGGAATTGAAAATCGCTGACTGGGACGCGGTTCCGCGGTTCCTGTTTCTCGCGGTTTTATCTACGGGATACGAGCCTAACCGTGTTTTCCCGTTCGACGTATACTAACCACCGCCACCGACTGGCTTATACTCCATCGGCACCCGGAGACGATTATACGTCATAATTTCCGTTTAATTGACTAATATCCTAACCGCCGACCGAAACGATAGTTACCGCGTGAAGCACGGCTCGCATTACCGCGTTATTACACCGGAGGAAAATGCTACTCGACCCCCCTCGGGCCCTAATTCAAATTTATCGCTTGGCGATGTTCACCCACTTTTCGTTATCAGTTGATAAACGCGGAGGTATATCAAATATTGTGTTAATATTATTTCGATCTACGTTTAACACGTGTAACACGGATACTACACGCTGAACCTTCCATCGAGTAATGCGTTTAACACGTTGCTGCATTTACATAAATGAATTTAATACACCTATGTGAATCGATGAATTATCTTGTTGTCCTATCAATGCGTTTTGTATGAATTTTCTAGTTTATGGAGCTCGTTGATGCAGCTCATTCATATACAGAGTGTTTGCGAAATCGTGGTACAACCGGCGAGGGGATGATTCCTCACATAAAATCTAGTCAAAAACAAGGACGTGACGTCATTTTCGATAAAATCAAGTTTGAAAATTCGTTAAGTACTTTAATTAATAATTAGCCTTAAATTTCAATAATTGATTTATTCTAGTAAATTACAAATGTTGAAAATCTCTTCATTGCTGTTGTAGGAAAATTCTTGCTCGACGAATTAGTGAAGCGTGAATCGAAACTAATGTGTTCGAGTTTTTAACTGGCCCTGATTTTAATTATTTTTGGCATAAACAATTCTTTTTACGTGACTCTAACAAATGAAAATCTAAAATAATTTTCAAACTCGATTTTCTCGAAAATTACGCCCCGTAAGAGAAAACTGTATTCCTTGTTTTCGATTAGATTTTATGTGAAGAATATCCCCTTGCAGATTGCACCACAATTTCGCAAACACTCTTTATATTCTTGCCAGACATGGCATTTTGGTTTTTGTTTTACACAGGTTTAAACAAGAAGTGATATGTGTCAATGAAGAGCAAATCGGACCTACCTTGGCACGTTTGGAGTACTTGAGGTACTGGTAATGATGATTGTCATAATTGAAGACATGAGGGGTCAGCGTGATGTCGCGATTCCGGATCTTGCCGGACACCGCCTTCTGCCGCTGCAGCTGCATTTTCTTACTATGCGCGCGCAAGTCGGCCGCTGGAAAAGAGAGAATGAAAATTTCGTGGGTGGAAAATCGACGAGTGGATCGGGAGAAAATTCGCGCGAGCGTAAACGGCTACTCGTTAGCCGTGCGTGCGAAACAAATTATCGTTGCTGGAGACAAGCCTCCCAATGATTTTTAAACAAACTCGACCGCCGTCCGATAAACTCCGTCGAATATTTTATGTCCACGCGAGAGTAATCCAATTTCTCTGTCCCGCGTTTGTTCAGCGGCGCGCGACTTTGCGTTCGATTAAGATTAAAGCGTTGATAAATCGTTCGATTCACTGTTCGACGAGACGCGAGAATCCTCGTGCACTTTAACAGCGACATTATTGTTCTAACAGGCAATTATGAATATTCATGGTGGGTGCGCGCTCGTTCCCGGGGAGGTTGCCAGTTGCCGGAGAGACAAACACGGCACCATTGTTAAACCGGCTAAGCGCGGCCGCCTATGAATAAACTAACGAATTAATTCCACTTGTAAAATCAGAAAACGTTCGCGCGGAATTACGAGACGGTTCGTTAGGGTGATTAAGCCTACGGCTTGCTGCGGCACGCTTCTGTTCATAAGTAACATTTAGGATACTTTCCTGTGCTTACTGTATGTCAAAACACCTGCCAGATACGATCAGAGACTCTATTAGACATTCTTTACACTTGCAAATATTAGAACGAACAGTGCCAGAGCACTGAACTCAGTTAAAGTACTTGAAATTTCATTTGTTCATTTATATTCATCGAACACCTCGTTCGTTTAAGTCCCGAGCACATGAAGTAGTCTTAAAAAAAAATACGATGCCGACTCGGTTCTAAGATCGATCAACGAGAGTTTCTGTTTCGATTTCGATATTGGCTCTGAATTACGTACACACCGCGAACGAGAATCCAGGAACCATTAATTTGCTCCTCAAAAGCTGTCGGCGATAAATCAAACCAGCTTTCCGGATAATAAATCAAGTTTGCTTGGCCCACATTCGCGATATCCTCGGCAAGCAAGGGTGTTAGTTCGATGTACCGGTCATGTGCGTGTTTTTACTCTCCGGTAGGATTCGTTTTATTAGGATAACCCGATTTTAATGAGTCGAGTCGATCGATTCGAACTTCGCGACCATGCAACCTTATATACTTCAGTTCATATAAAATAAATAATGTGAGTCAATAAAAAGTATCGTATGCAACAACACTGTTTAATCATTTTATCAGTACGTATTAAATATGAATTTTGTGCATCTTGATAAATCAAAATGTATTCCTATCGACCTTTATGATCAAAGTACTGATCGCTTGATAATATTAAATCGCAGTTCTTAATGACTTACTCTATACTTATTCGCATGCTTGCAAGGAAACGATCGCACGCGAGTTTCTTCAAGGCCAATAGAAGTTTGTAAAACAGGAACGATATCTATGCATGCACTTATGTACACTAAAGTTAACGAAATCACATTTTTCCTATATTACTGTGCCAATTCAAACAGGCGTATCTGATCGACAATTTAGAGTAAAACGACTTTCAGGATTTTATATAAATTGTATTTAATTATGTATTAAATGTGGATAAAAAGATTTGTGACTTTGTAATAGATACGTTTTGATGATTTAACATATTTTTTGTCTGTCTTATTCTTGTCACATTTTCACTGTATATAGAACTTTCTGTAGGTAAACTATTTTTGTGCTGCCTGGCAGCAGTAACTCGATTTACGCGGAAGCTGTAGAACTCTCTCACTAACGTGGCATATACTTTTTAATTCGACTAGAAGTTTAAAATTGTCGATACACCGCGAATTTTGTACATTTATAGAAAAATTGAAGAAAGACCAAATTACATGTTACAATGATTCTCTAAATCGCATTTACTAAATTGATACCAAAAATATATTTTATTAGATTTATTATTACAATTATTAATATTAGATATAATATTTTGATTAAAAAATTTAATTACCGATACTACTTTCATTAGACCTGAAGTCCCACGTTTTCAATTGTCACTCCTTCGTCGAAAACTGTTTTCAGAATAAAAATATGAACTCATATGAGTAGTTACCTTTGCACGGGCAAAAGCCTTTGCAGGAGATGCGGACCAACGTGTGGTGGATGCAGTTGTGATATTCGAGCCGGCACGGCGAGCTGTACGTGCGATTATCGCTTCCGCAAAGGAACGTCGGCTTCACCACAGGACATTCTTGACATCTGCAACAAAAGGTGAGGGATGGACGTCGCCGTTAGAACGGAGCTACGAAACTCCTTCTCTTCCTACCAGTGTAACGTTTTAATTGCCCGAGTGCGTTTCTCTGCTGTTTTCCATTTCCACGACTCCGTTTCAGCCGTAGAAAAGTGGACGATATTAAAATACCGCGAAACGAGCTCCACTTTCTGACGTTTTCAAGCCCTCTCCGCTGTCCCTCCATCTTAACCCCTTCTCGTTTTGGACAACTTTTTAAAAACTCATAAAGACCAGAGGATCGCGTTTAACTCGTTTGCGTCAGACACCCTCGTGCAAATTATAACGTTATATATTATATAATTGCTGCAACGCTTAAATACAATATTTTATACAATGTTTCATGTAATATCAATTATATATAACGTATTACGTATAATTTATACAATAATTCATACGCCAATTAATACATCACGACTGATGGGTGTAAGAAATTTATTTTAATATATAAATTTTATTTCTGATGTTATTTCGTATTAATTTATTCCGAAATTTTCTCGAAGATCAAAGCAGATCATTACGTTTTTCACCGATCCTTAAACTTCAAAGTCACTGCGTCAGCGAACACCCGAGCCGAATCAACAGTTGCAGCAGGCAGCGGGTCTCTCGGTTAAAGTTACGGGAGGAGCGGTTACGACGGCATAATAAAGAAGGGAGCCCTTCTGCGGATTCGGCCACAATACCGAGCCGGTAGGTTGCTTCCTCGAGAATTTGTGGTCGTCGGCAAACGCGTAATTAGTTTAAACCGAGTAACGCGGTAATTAAGCAGGTTTAACTCCTTTATCAAGACGGAACTCTGCGGCTTCCCCGCTTATCCCACGCGTCGCCCTCGTTCGAGATTTTTCACCCGAGACTTTGATATACAACCCAAAAAAGTCGTTGATCAATGCAGAACTACGTCAAATAGGAATATTTAATATATAACAATAATTATTTCATACAGTTTATTGATAGATTTATACATGTCGCATCTGAAGATCTAATTAATTCAACTATTGATTTGTTTAACAATCTGTCGTTATTGCTTTATTGTTGGAGACGTCCGGGACGATCTTAGTACTTCATCGCAGTTATCGTGTTATATCAACGGATCGCATTTTACGTATCAATTAATACTGTCCTGCTTTATTAGTCATTAATTATTCGACAGCGTCAGGAGTCGATCATCGATTTACGTAATCGTACCCGATGACTGCTTCCGGAAACGAATTAATTCGCGTGTGCGATCGGATCGCGTGCCCGCAATTTCCCTCGTTCCATGAAACCGCCGCCGCGCCGTTCGATGGTAATTAATCGGGCAACGTTACAGACTTGTTTCCCCATTTGTTTTTACGGAATAAATAGATTCCCGTTTGTTCCCGATCCGTTGTTTCGTTCAAAGAGATAAAATGAAACTTCCTCCCGTATTAACGTTCCAGCGACGTTTCACCCTTTAAAATAATCTCACGGTGACAGGAGGACGAGTATACGTTTCCGCTCAAAAGTGGTGTCCTCCGGTGGTGGAAAAATTATCCGGGTTATTTTACTTTGCCTTAACAAATTTATTCGCCCGACATCCGGACTGACGACAATAGCAAATAATTATGTTATTTCATTCGAAGATTCGGTCTGTATTTTAATTCTTTCATTATTTTGAAATTCTTATTATTATACTTTATTTCTGAAAGCTCCCATAAATAATTTCCCTCCTTATTTTGAGGATTTTACGAAAACTAGAATAAAGCGACAACAAATCACGTCGAATATCATATCAAGGCTACTATCAATATTATTTATATTAAATACAGACATTGATAAAGAATATTGTTTACCAATAATCATTTACTACGGCTTCGTGAAAAATCGCAGACGCTTTTGAACGAAAGTATACACACGATTTGCTTCCAGCGGAACGCACAATTTTCCACGGAATTCGAAAACACGGGGATACGAATCGAATTTCCTCGTACTACCAACCAAGAATGTTGATATTTATGTAAACTACTATGCTTCCCGTTCCTACAGCTCTCTCGTTCTCCACGAAAATTTCCAAACTTCTCCTATTCATTCTCCTGTGGAATATTTAAATTTTAAACGAGCTACTTCCAAATACGTATTCTCTATTCTCCCTTTCTACCTTTTTTTTAACAGCTGCATCCTTTCTAAACACCATACTTAGGGAACGTCAGGGGAAAAAGAGCACCAGATAAAATCACGAGAAAGTACACGGGAGTAAAAAGAATTTCAGAGTTGCTAGAAAATACTTTTACGAGAAAAAACAGAGAAAGAGTTTTATCCTACTGTTTCTCATCTACTTCTTATCGCGGCCACCACGTTACTGGACTTATAAAAGATTTACAAGCGCGCCAAGATAACGCGAATAGTATTATACTAACTAAACGTAACTGACTGCGAACTAAATTTATTTCATATAACGTCCTGCTGAAAAAAATCTCTATTATAAGATTCTCCTGTCTACGAATTTTCTTATCTATTTCTTCCTGCAGTCAGAAAACTTACAGGCAAAAAAATGTTTTTATCAATGCAATATAAAATAAAATTTGAAAAATGGTAAGAGAATAAGCATTGTTTTATACGTTTTATTATACGTAGTTGCATTTTGAATATTAAACATTAAAGATTTACACGTTTTTATTTACTGTTAGTTTATTCCACGTCACGTGTTGTTTGATGAAAAACTTTTTGTTAGAAACAGTATTATACAGGAAATAGATGTCCACGAGAGAATATATTTCATTCGACGTTTTTTGAAAAAAAAATCTATTAGCACACTTCGTTATTGAATTCCCCTGTCTACAAATTTTCGAATCCCTATACCATCCAAAAAAAATCCATCGATTCTCTGCGAAAAAAGAAGTTTGCTCACACACACACACACACACGTACACACGTATATGCACCGAATGTCGCCCCGCAGTCCCGTGTCCTCGCCTCAATTTGTATTCAAATTCGCGGATTCCATTCGCAGCCTGTTCCGCACCCCGCGTCCTGTTTACCATACCGTCCGAAGGAGTTTCCGTCGAACGCAACGGAATTCAACAGAACGGAATGAAGATTCGAGTGGATACACATAGTTGTCCATAAGTATTAAAACATCGCTATATTAACACGACGATTTATTAAACATGAAAGATCATTTTATTTCCTTAGATTCGACGCAGATTTCCGTACCAATTAGTAAATCATTTATTAAATCATCTACTATTTGAAAGATTGTATCAAATATTTTATTAATTACTATCACATATATCATCAGTGCATGAACGTTTTTATAGATTTCGCAACGGGGCGCGTCGGTGAATTTATGTCGCCGGTACGGAGTTCTTATCGCGGGGCGTTCGATTTTTCGTTTCGCGACATCGAGGCGCCGAGGCCGAGGCATCGCGGCTGCGTCCCGGCTCGAACGACGTTGTTTCCTTCAACATCGCTTTTTCCAACTTTTGATTTACGCGGGCCTCCGCGCCGCGGAATTCCATGAATGCGAAATGTAATCCTCTGCCCCGTTCCTCTTCCAAGCCTTCCCCACCCTTCCTGTTCCGTCGCAATATTTCTAGCGAGAACTTTCCCCCCGATCAGACAGGATAACAAATTCCACTTTACTGACGCCTTTGTCGATATCGTTTGATAATTCAGGAATTAGAATAAAAAAGGCGAGGCTTAAAAATTCTCCAAGCAAGTTAAAAGTTATATCAAATATTACGACAATTAATAGCTGATTTATTGTATCACGTATTGTACTATTATTATACATGAAACATTATTATTATGAAACATTGTATCAAATGTTGTATTACAATTATTGCACGAAAGATAGTGCAAATTTTTATTAGAATATTTATGAGGATTTTATGATGCAAATGGGTTAATTGCTTGGCTCGCCCGGGCTCTCAAAGCGGATCTGTCGTCAAGGGCGTTCTCTCGAGCGAAAGCAAGTGGAAAAAAGTTCGAGGGAGCGAAGATAACCCTAGCGTAGGGCGCATCGGATGCGCGTTCGAGAGGATCGTGGGAAGAGGAACTGCTGTTTGGTAGGTGATTTTATGGTTTCACGGGTTCCCTAGTAATTTACTCGCTTACATCGTGCGTCGTTCCGTTTAATAACACGTTTACTCCGTAATTCGATCGGCGTTCCTGTACTTAGTATCGTAAAAGTTTCCGTCAGCTGAATGCTCGTACTGCAAGCCCGTTAGGTAGACGTAGACGTTAACCGCGGCACGAATACAGGGGAAAAGGTAAACGCGTTTAGAAGACAGGCAAGTGGAATACAAATGGAATATAAAATATCCGAGCGGAGCTCTGCTCGTGGCTCGGGCATTGAAATTTTATACTCGGTTCCATGCATGTTAAAATGGAAAATTACCCCGGGCTCGTAACACTGACAAAATAATAGGACTTCGAGTACCTGTGCCCGTCTCTTTTTCTTTTCACGCCCGTATTCACTCGCCATATACTCCCGTATCGTATCACCGTTGAACCGACAAACGTCACGTGATACGTCGTTAATAAATCTTAAGATATTTTCAAGAACATATCGTCCATAAAAACAAATCTGGCAAATATTTCAAATTGATAATCAAAAACAATTTCAATTAAAAAATTCTATCAAATCGTTAAATGAATTATACAATGAATCATGAATTCCAATAAAAGTCTACTTCAGATATGAACGATATTTATATAACAATTTCAGTAAAAACAATGAAGTGT